TCATTACACTATAAAAACAAAATTCTGAAATTAGTGAATCACAATACTAATACCCAGAATTAGAGCTATAGAAAGCAAATAATATTATCAATAAAGAGATTCGCAGTGACCTTGGCCTTCTCTGAAATTTAGGTAAACACTGCTTTCAGAATATTCTATTTAGGATAATTGACACACCGTGTCCAGTGATGCCAGTTGCAATATTTTTGCACCTAACAAAAGCTATTTTTGTAATAATAACAATTTGCACCTGCGTGCACGTGAAGAATAATATTGGGAAGATTCAACCGTATTACCCCAAAGGCTACATATAATTATATTCTTAACTTATTTTTGGACACTGTCATTTACAACCATTTTGCTCTAAGGCCGTAATTTGTTCATTTTATTCTTATTTCGATCTTTTCAATATTAAGAATGTTGCAAGGTAAAAAGTTAGAAGTTTAGTTTAATTTTAAAATAATATTTATCACTTAGAACATCTTCTGGTTAAAATAAAATTTCATGTACTTATCTTAATACCTTAACTGCTGTTTTTCTTTCTACAAATTTATGACAAAAGCTTGAGTAGGCCATATGCATTTAAAATTTAATGCGGTATAACTAAAACAGCACTCTGAATTTTATTTGAAGCATTCATAAGTATTTTAATAAATTTTTACTTTACTTGATTTCCAGTTTCAAATTCTCAAAAAAGTTTATTCAATGTGATTATCTTTTATTGTAAAAATATTTTATTTCAATCTAAATTAAAACTTAATGAATTATTTCATAACCTTTTATTTTTCAATATATATTTTATATGTAAAAACAGAAAGAAACATGAAATAAAATAATATTTATAAAATAATGATTTTTTCTCTGACGTAATATGATATGATACAATAAATTACAATGTAACTAACAAAACTATTATTATATTAACTATTATTAAAATGTGATCAATTATCATAATCATTTTATTTACTCAATTAGCTTTTTATTCTAAGTATTAAAAAAGCCCACAAAAATGCTGATTGCCTGTGAAAAACACTATCAGCATGGGCGGCTTGAGTTGCCCACCAAGCATGCCTAGTAGTGGTGTAGTTCTGTGTTTAATCCCTACCATGTCCCAAAATATCATATTTAAAATGGTTTTCTTGAGAAAAAGAAAATAACGGTATCTTTTGTTTATTTACAATTTTTATTTTGTTGAAAGTCTGCAGTTGTGTTGTCAACTGAAAGGCTCTTATTCTTTAACTGTGACTTTTTCTAGTTTTTTTCTTCGAACAAAAGTTCATTGGAATTCACTCTTTTCGTCTTGTTATTTATATAATTTACTTTCTTTTACGTCATCTGATAACTGCTTTATAAATTTCATCTTTTCTCTTCCAGTAACTTTTAACTCTAATAGTGGTTGCATACAGTCTTGCTGGAAGTGATGTTTATAAAAAAAAAGGCTTAAGGTAGTGCAAACATTTTTTTTAAACCGCCGCAAACAAACTAAGAAAGGGAAAAGAAATTCTAATTGTGTTAACTAAATCTATTTAAAAACTCATTATTTAATTCAGATATTTTTAAGACAGAAAAAAATATACAAATTTATGAAATTAATATTAACCTCTCAACCAGAAATATAATGGGAAAAAAAACAAATGGTTTTTTGTTAATATCTCAATAAAAAAATGTTTTGATAAATTTAACTAACGCTAAACTTATATTCTATTTATTTAAAAGATAAACACAATTTATCTTGGTACTTAGCGATTCCTTTTAACTATTAAAGATTATAATTATCTAAAAGTTTTAATTTTTTAACAAGGAAAAAAACATTAAATGTAAATTTGTTTTAATTAAATTTAATAACTAATAAAAAATCAATTAAATTATGAAATACTAAAACTGTTAACTGTTATTTAATTAAGTTAGCAATGTAATACTATTTAGTGAATAAGCTCAAAGCAATAAAGAAAAGGAACAAATTAAAGAAGCGATCTTTAAAACAAGATCAATAAGAACTAATGGGTAAAAAAAAGAACTATTTGCAAATAATAAGAAAGCTGAAAATTCACTAAACATTGCTTCACAACATTTATCCATAATAGAATGTTATCAAACAGATAAAAGACTTATTACAACCAGTCACTGCCAACTTGCAGGCCTAAAGATCTCTCTTGAGGACATTATGACCAGCATATATAATTGATACACATTGACAATAAATTGGAATTTTATAAGACAAAAAAACATGCCAGGTTTATGATAAACCCTGAAATGCGCTAGAAAAGTAATTAAGTATCAAAGCAAACAAAAATAAATCATTTTTCTCTTTTCAGTTTAAATGTAAATAAATTAAAATCAATACAACTCACAAAAGAAAACTTAAATAGACAGTAAAAAACTTATGAACACCAAAAAGTTATCTTTTGAAAATGAAACATTAACAGAAGTTAGAAACTCTTTTGCTTTTTTCCAACTTTACAAAAAAAGTAGGGAACATAAAGAAAAAGGAGAATTCCAA